GCTATTATTTTTTTTTTCACATATGAGGAGAAAGGGAATATCCAATTAAGGAATGATAAGACATTGAGATTTTTAACAATGTCTGCTTGCTCGGTTCCATAACCAAAACTCTTGGCACCAGCAGTCAGGAAGAGACAAAATGTTTAGGAAAATCTGCTCAGGGTCCTCTCCAGAATGCTGAAGAACAAAGATTTTAGTCTAGAGCTAAGGTGCACCTGATACAGGACATGGTCTCCACAATTACTTGCTACATCAGAGAGCTGAGCAATGACTAAAGATGACAGAAGAACTGATGCCTTTGAGTTGTGGTGCTGGAGAAAAGTACTGAACATTCCATGGACTGCCAAGAGAACAAACAGGTTTGTCCTGGAGAGGGTGAAGCCAATTTGCTCTTTGGAAGAAAGGAGTTTGATGCTTGTCTTACATACTTTGGACATATTACCCAAAAGGGACCAGTCCTTGGAGAAGGACATCATGCTTGGAATGGTGGATGGACAGCGCAGCAGAGGAAGACCCTGGATTACATGGATTGACACAATGACAGGGGCATTAGGGGCAGGTTTGTCAGATTGGCTCCGGAGAGGGAGGGGTTCAGAGCTACTTGCATAGAGTCGCTATTTTATAGTCAACTCTATAGCACATAACAATAAGCACAAAATCACTTAAGAAGGGAAAGATGTAAAAGATTTAGAAAGACTAATGGAAATCAGAATTAAATGGAAGAAACGGGAAAAGTGTCATCACTGTGTGGATACTGAAATTAATGTTACTAAAAATGTTATTGAACAAAAATGTGTATGAAAGATTGTGAAAAATTAAGCTGTAACGATGATCACTCAATAAAAATTCAAAGCATAAAACACTAATTAAAAATTCTTAGAATGAACAAAAGTCGAGTTAGCAAAAAATCCACTCTTACTTGCAAATTTAAGAAATTAATGTGGTAATGATCTTCCCAGGTAATCGAAGACACAAAAGTTGCGTGACATTCTTCTGGCCTGAGGGCCACAGGCCCTCGGGCCAAGAAAAGCCTATCTACACACCAGTTCTACAGGATGCATCACCTTTGCTCAGGAAACATTACGACTAAACTTCAGAGACATTGATCCCAACATAAAGAACTACCATCAGCTGATGTGTTTGGGATCACAGAAACCAGGGAAGCTTCATATATAAGTTATTAGATGGAGGGCTGGTCAAAGGGAGATAGATGCGAAGGGAGGGGGTAAAGTGGATGGGTATCCTGGTGGATGGTGTAGCAGGGAAATAAGTGGGTAAAGACGCATGTGAGAAAGGCAAGGACAACACTGACACTAAAGTTAACTCCACAATAAGGGATATACCTTTAACTTGCTGGTCTGTCTGATACTTCTCTAAATCTGAACATTCACATTAAGACAGACTAGGAAGAAGGATTGGCCATCCACTTCTGAAATAGCAGGCCTCTGAAAACCCTATGTACAACCGTCTGATACAGGCCATGGTCTTTGCAATCGTTATGCATCAGAGTTGGACAATGACCAAGGAGGATAGAAGGAGAATTGATGCCTTTCAGCTGTGGTGCTGGAGAAGAGTATTGAGAATATCATGGACTGCTAGGAAAACAAACAGATTTGTTCTGGAAAGGGTTAAACCGGGTGGCTCCTTGGAGGCAAGGATTCTGAGGCTCGTCTAACATACTTTGGACATGTAAGGAGGGACCGGTCCTTGGAGAGGGTGGAGGGATGGCGCAGGAGAAGAAGGCCCTCTATGAGGTGGATAGATTCAGTGACTGGGATAATTGGGATGGGAGTGTCAGAGACAGTGCGATTGGCACAGGACAGAGCAGAGTTTAGGGCTGTTGTACATAGGGTCGCTATGAGTCGCAAGCGACTCAACGGCACATAACAACAACAACAATGCAATTACGCCAGTTACTGAACAGAAATTTGAGATCGGGATATAAAAAGATTTTTTTAAAAAACCAGACAGATTTGAACTGGTTCAGTCTTGGTCGACAAATGGATAACGGAACAGAAAACATTTTTATAAAATTTTAGAATGATTAAGTTGGAAAAAATTAAAGTTTCAATGCTAGCTTCCATGGGAAGGACGGGATTTAGGCAGTTGTTGCAGGCTAGGACGACAGCAAAACTCTGCAGGTCGCAGGTGTTGATGCTGGTGGCGCGGGGATCATCGTTATTATTACGCAGTCCTTCTGGCTCGTTGGGAGAGCACCGGTGGAATGCATGCAGGTAACTGCAGAGCGCTCCACAACCCACGTCCGCAAGCCGCGCCAGCGACCTGTAGGGCCACCTCGTCGAGGCCGGGTTCGCATTCGGACTTGGCAGATTCGCCACAATTTGGTATGCGAATTTAAAAAATTAAGGGTTATAATTTACTTATACAGGAAACAAATTCCGTTTTGTAACACAAAAGCAGGAGGTATTTTGAGTCTTTGATTTTTTTTCTCTCTTCTGATGTCCGTAGGAGCTACGTCCACCCTGCCGGTCACCGCCTCGAACGTGGCGACGCAGACGCTCCGCTCGCTGTTTCCAGCACGCAGTCGCGGCCTTCCGTAAGTTTCCGCCCCCGCCGGGAGGCCGACGTGGAAGTTGCTGGCTGAACAGGCATCCAAGGAAACGGCCGCGGTACCTGGATCCTAGGCCGAGGAGCGCGGCTGTAGCGCCGTGTGGACTTGAGTGGGAGTCGCTGCCGAGGCCGAGGCCTGTTTCTGTGGATCGGCAAAAGCGGACAGGCTTATCATGGGTTAGGAGTCTCGGGGACACTTGCGGGCTCTCCCGAGGGCTGGGATTGGGAAGTGAGGGGCTGTCCCGAGAAGTGAGAGTCCTCTGGTCACCTTATCAGGGGGCGTGTGCACCCTGCCTTGTGTCTGCGCCCTCGTTGATTTCGCACCACCCTGGTGGGAGTGAAGACTGCAGAGAGGGAGGCCTGGGGGACCCGCCCCGAGTCATTGGCCCCTCGCCCCCACTTAATTTGCTCTTGTGAAGGTTGGCAACGCGTCGATCGCAGGTTGGCTGAGTTTCCGTGGGTGAAAGATGAGAACTGACCGTGGAAGCTTGATGCTCTCCCTGGGCCTTTCGCTGGGACCGCGTCAGAGTGAAGAATCCAAGTGGGCGGTGTTGCTTGGAATGTCGTTTTATAGCCGTTTTTTGATCGGTAGCTTTCCCCTGTAGTGAATAAAGATGATGCAGGAAAAGGGGAAGGCCGTACCGTCGGTGAACGAAATGTCAGTGTCATTTTTCGGTCTGATCATTGCCTGTCACCCCCACAACATCGTGTAACTCACTCACTCCCCACCCTCCCGAGTGCAGACGAAGGTGCAAAGTCTGGTTGTTTAAATCTCTCCTCGCTTTTCTGGGGAATTTACTTCCTCCTCCGGAACACCATAAGCACTTTTCTTGCAACCCATTTTCAATTTTATTTTTTTACAGGTAGAAGGGATTTTTTAAAGGCATTCTCCTCTTTAACGTGCCCAGTGTTCTCTAGCCTTTGGTTTGTTCGTTTAACCAAATCCAGAGCTTGCTTGTGCAATTTGTCAAAGAATCATTTATTGCGTGTGACAACTCTTCAGTTGTTTCTTTTTGTTAGCCGTTTCTTGCATGTATCAGGGTACATTGGCTAACGCTCTTTTTTTGTTGTTGTTAGAGCAGTGCAAATATGTTTGCATGTGTTTTATTGATTTTGCAAACGCATTTGAGTTATAGGTCGTAATAAATTATGGCTATAGCATTGAGAAGCATGGGAATCCCAGAGTACTTAAATTCTGCTTATGTGAAATTTGTACATAGACAGGAAGCCAAGCAGAAGACGACAATGAATATAGCTTTAGGTGCTTTTTAGTGTTGTTTGATTTTTAAATAACCTTTCACTGAAAAATAGTTATTGCCCCTTTCAGCTCCTGTGTCACACTTCATTTTGCTAGAATTGTGATAGTAGGGAGCCCTGAACCTTAGAAGGACAGGTGGTGTAGTCTGTGTACCGAGTTGTGCTGCCAGCCCAAAGGCTGTGTGTCTCTGGCGGTTCAAATACACCACCAGCTCTGAGAATGATGGGCAATCTCTGATTTACCACCTCAGAAACCCAGAGGAGGGTCCCTATAAGTTGAAATCTACTTCATGGAAGTGAGTTTGAGTTTCTTGTTAGTCTACTATAGGAAAGGTGAACAGTTTGATTCCACCAGCTGCTCTCCATGAAAAAGAGTCTTCTCCCATTATAGGCCTTGAGTTCAGATGAAAGCTTGCTAGGAGTAGCAGTCTTCTCCATAGCAGTAGGTTTTGTTTTGTGATGACAGTACAATTATATAACAACAGTAATTGCCTTATGTTTAAAGGAATATCTTGCTCTTTAGTGTAGTCACTAGCTATATCATATATTAAACCTCATCATCCCAGAGAAGCTTTGCTTTTTTAGGGGCAATAATGAGACCATGCTCAACTGCATGCTGGTGCTGCAGTCCTGAAGGCATGAGGTTCTCCAGCTGCTCCATAGGAGAAGTATACACAGCCTTCTTTCATATAGTTCACTACCACTGAGGGTTACTGCTGGAGGGTTTGCTGTTAGTTGATTCTGGCTTGATGTCACACAGGAACAACAACATTGTGATCCCCTAACACTGGGCAGGGGACAGTTTCTTTTATTTAGTGAATCCACTGGGCTAGTCTGGGATAGTATTTTATTATTGATTTTTGTGAGTGTGTACCATCAAATCAGATCTATTGGTACAGGAGGAGATTGTCCCTCCTTCTCCAGCAGAGCATCTGGTGGATTCGAACCGTGCACCTCTGGGATTGCTGGGATAGGATTTTAGACATGATAATGACCAGGAAGAACTTACTTGATGTTGAATAACATATTTCATAAGGAACAGAAACATGCACCTATGAATCTAGGAAAATATGTTATTTGATTTGCTTTCACTTCCAAAGAGCAAGATTAAATATTTTTACTTGTTTTGACAAGATGTTACTAAAGACACAATTGTTTTTTTATTTATAGGTGGCTTTTTCTCAAGTATTTTTTCCAGTCTGTTTGGAACCCGGGAAATGAGGATTCTCATTTTGGGGTTAGATGGAGCAGGGAAAACCACAATTTTGTACAGACTACAGGTTGGAGAAGTCGTTACTACTATTCCCAGTAAGTGCTGGTATGATAAACCAATTATAGGAGCTTCTTGATTTCTATTAGTAAACTTTTGTTTCTGAAGTCCAGATTAGAATTGATAAATTGTTCCTGTGATAAAGTATTTGTTAAAGTAGGTAACCTTCTAGTGCTGGCATATTTTTAATACCTTTTTATAAACAGAAGCAAGGAATTTGCCGTGTAGCAGCGGGCACAGGATCCAGCAGAGTTTCATTCTGTGTTCTTAGGGTTGCTGTGAGTTGGAGCTGACTTCACAACACCTAACAACAATAACTGCTTGGCAGAGTTTTGATGTTTATAAATTGATTGTGGTTAACTAATTTGCTTAATCTTCAGGGCCAGTATTTGTACTGATAAAATGAAGTCATAAATATTCACCAGCTCTGAGGAAGAAATTAAAATAAAATTATTTTGTAAACCTAATAAAGTATTTTATCAATGCTAAGTGATATTGTTACGTAAATTTTCTTTTTCTGTACCTAATTACTCTTTTAATTAAGTTTATTGCATTGGGAAAGTCTGCTGTCAGAGATCTCTCCAAAGTACTGATGTCAATGTGGAGACTAAGGTGCGCCTGATACAGGCCATGATCTTTGCAATTATTTGCTATACATAAGAGAGTTGGACAATGACTAGGGATGATAGAATGAGAATTTATGCCTTTGAACTGTGGTGCTGGAGAAGAGTATTGAATATACCATGAAATGCTAGGAGAACAAAAAAGTTTGTCCTGGAGAGGGTGAAGCCAGGCTGCTCCTTGGACCCAAGGATACTGAAGCTTTGTCTGTCATACTTTGGACGTGTTGCAAGACGGGATCAGTCCTTGGAGAGGGATGTCATGCTTGGGAGAGTGGAGGGACAGCGCAGGAGAGGAAGACTCTCGATGAGATGGATTGATTCCATCACTGGGGTAATGGGGATAGGTGTGTCAGAGACAATAAGATTGGCAAGGGATAGGGCAGGGGTTAGGGCTGTTGTATGTTGTCACTATGAGTCGCAGGCAACTCAATGGCACTTAACAATAACAACAATTAAGTTTAATTTATCTTATGCATTTCTGTTGGTTTCTTTTAAAGATCTGAATTGAAGGACTGGTGATGTAATCTGGGATCTAAATTAAGAGAAGCAACACTTCAACTTTAAGTCCATTATTGGCTTCATAGAAAAATGCTCTCCTTTTTGTTTGACTAAATAAGAATACTGTTATATCTTTTTCATTTGCTGATATTTTACGTAATGATAGTACTGTTAAAACCTGCTTAAGACAGAACCTGTGTAAGACAGTAACCTATTAGGAAATAAAAATTCTTTAATATTTTTCTATAGATTGTAAGAGAAAAGTGGTGTATGTATTCTGCTTAAGGCAGAAAACTTTGGAGGTCTGGAAAAGCACAGTCCTATGTAATTGTGGCTTTCATTCCCATTTGCTTGGGGCCTGTATGAGTAGAGGCCAACTATTTATTTTCAGAGCTTACTGGAAAATTTTTGTACAGCCTGAAAATGGTGCTGATCCCTGCTGCTTGTTGAGGAGGTGAAGTTCTGCACAGCTTAGTATATTGTCTTAAATGTAGTATCTCAACCAATAATGTCATCTGACAATTCATCCACTGTTTACATGCACAAATAAGTATGTTGTATGAAGCAGCATTTCATTTATTTGTATACTTTGAAGGTAGACTTGTGTTGTCTTACGTATGTAATTGGTTCGCTTTCTCTTTCAGCTATTGGATTTAATGTTGAGACAGTAACATACAAAAATCTCAAATTCCAAGTTTGGGATTTAGGAGGACAGACAAGTATCAGGTATAGTGCAAAGCCAAGATTATTTTGTGATATTTAGCATTCTCTTTTTTAAGGGCTCAATCTCATAACTTAAGGATTTTAAAGTAACTGTGAAGTCACATTAAGAAAATGGAAAGATAATCCTTTTTGTTGTTGTTATGTGCCATTGACTTGTAAAATGTAATGACCAGATCTCTGCATAACCGTTACATCTTTATGTTGGAGCTCTGGTGGTCAAATGGTATGAAGCTGCCCTACAATCCCAAAGGCACACAGTTTGAATACACCATCTGCACTATGGGAGAAGAATGAGCAGTCTCCTCCTGTGTAATTTATTGCCTCAGAAAACCCACTAGGGGGTCAATTGTGGGTTGGTTCTGACTCAGTGGCACACAACAATTATATGTTGACTGATTTTATAGACTGTGCATATATTCTCTCAATCTGAAACTCCTTGATCGTTTGGTTTAATGTTTTCTTTTGACTGCTTGTCATCTGAGAGATGTGGTGTATCTGTGACAGACACTTGATCACTCAGTGATTTTAATGCAGGTTGGGGTGGGGCAGGATTGGGCATGTAGCTGCCCATCATTGCCCTGAGCCCTAACATGTAAATTAGCACTTAAATTTCTTTCAAATAATATTTTTTTCCTTTTTTGTACTTTCTCTAGGCCATACTGGAGATGTTATTATTCAAACACAGATGCAGTCATTTATGTAGTTGACAGTTGTGACCGAGACCGAATTGGCATTTCCAAATCAGAGTTAGTTGCCATGTTGGAGGTAAGAGAATGTTACTAAAATGTAAGAAAAGAATTTATATTTGCTCCAGTTTATATTGTCCAGGGAATTGTTTCCAGTGTATATTGTCACTTGCAAGAATAATTTAAAAGAATGTGGGGATTTTTTCCCTCCATATTTTTAGTATCTTCTCCCCACAGCCCTCCCAGATTACTTCCTATTCCTGTTAACTTGTAGGGATCTTAAAGATGGGTAGAGCTGGGGGAGGAATTCAACCTTATAATTTCCTTTAACTTGGATTGCTGAATTTCTAGGAGAGTCACAGCGGATTTTTTTTTCTTCTTTTTTTTAGCAGGATTGTTGAGATAGAATTTATTTACTACATAATTCATTTCTTTTAGGTATTTGCTTCAATAGCAATGAGTAGTGTAATTATAATCATCATGGTGACTTGAAAAATTTTCATCATTTTAGAAAGAAACCTTGTACCTTTTGTTATTAATCCTGTGCTTCCTTACCTTAACCTCTAAAGTTCCAGCTATAAGCAACTGCTGCAGTGCAAAAGTTGAGAACAAGAAATAAGGACCAGTAGTCAGAAATTGTTGACAGTTTCTCAGTGTGCCTTGGTCTTGGTAACAGAAATGAGGCTGGAGAGAGAATGATAGAATTTTATACAAATCAATTATTTATTCATTGCAGATGTCTTTTATAAAAATGTAAATGGTGACTGTACACATGGACCTCACCTGATGGGGTACCCAGCAGTCAGTTGATTGCATCTGTAGCAAGAATTGTGGGAGAAGCTCAGCATCAGCTGTAAAAACCAGAGCAGGTGGTGACTGTGGAACAGAGTATCAACTACTCATGTGCAAGTTCAAACTGAAGCTAAAGAAGATGGAAACAAATACACAGAAACCAAAATATGATCTTGAGTCTGTCCCACCGGTATGAAAAAAACCATCTCAAGAAAAAATTTGAGGCATGAACCCTAATAAACGAATGCCAGATGAGCTACGAGATGACATCAAGGATATCATCTGTGAAGAATGCAAAAAGTCATTACAAAGACAGAAGAAAGAAAAGACCAAAATGGATTTCAGAAGAGACTAAATGTTGCAGTGGAATGCTGAGAAACCAAAACAGTGGGGAGTGATGATGAAGTTAAAAGATTTGAACAGAAGATTTCAAAGACAAAGTATTATAATAAAATGTGCAAAGAGAGTCAGAAAATCAGAAGGGAAGAACTTTCTCAGCATTTCTCAAGCTCAAGGAGATGAAGAACAAATTCAAGTCTTAAATAGCAGTACTGAAAGATGCTATGTGCAAAATTTTGTATGATCCAGGAAATATCAAAAGAAGATGGAAGGAATACATGGAATCACTGTACCAGAAAGAATTGGCTGACACAGAACAAATTCAGGAGGTAGCATATGATCAAGAACCAGTGGTAATAAAGGAAGAAGATCTAGTCACTCTGAAAGAATTGGCAGAAATAAAGCCTCAGGAATTATTGAAAGAGCAATTGACATGTTTCAGCAAACAAATGCATCCCTGAGGGTGCTCTGTCCCTCTCTGTTCACCTGCAGCCTACAGCGAATCTCTGATGGGAGTAAGCATGTTGGAGATACACCGCTCTGGAGAGGATCAGAGAGTCAATCCAGCTCAATTTTATTGGGATAAGCAGTGCACTTATATACACAGAAAGACAGGATAGGGTGGGCTTACAGACGTGAGACATGCGGATTGGTTAGGAGAACCTCAGCCTTGTGCAGACCACTCCCACCCAGCTCAACAGACTTAGGAGCCGTCTTCCCAGGTGGCGAGCTTTCTCAAGCCGGTTCATCCAAACACGGGACCTTTCTCTACCCCGTATTAAAGGCCGTTGGGAGGCTTGCACTTACCCGGAGTTTAGGAAATCTGTGCTGGCCAGAGACCCTACCTTCCTCCCCAACATCCTGCAACAGTGCTCACCAGGTTGTGCTAAGAAATCTGGAGGACAGCGAGCTAGCCAGTTGACTGGAAGAGATCAATATATGTTCCCATTCCCAAAAAAGTTGATCCAGCAGAATGTGGAAATTATCAAACAGTATCATTAATATCACATGCAAGGAAGATTTTGCTAAAGCATATCCAAGAATGGCTAAACATTACATCATCACAGAACTACCAGAAATACAGGCCGGGTTCAGAAGAGGCCGTGGCACTAGGGATATAATGTCTTACAGATTTTGGCTGAAAGCAGAGAATATTTGAAGGATGTGTTATATTGACTATGCAAAGGCATTTGACTGTGTGGATCACAACAAATTATGGCTAACATTAAGAAGAATAGGAATCCCAGAATACTTGATTTTGTTCATGCAAAACCTGCATACCTCGACCAAGAAGCTGTTGTCTGAACAATGCAAGGGAACATTATATGGTTCAAAATAAAGGAGTGGTCAGCAATCCTTTCTTCATACCTTTCTAGTCTGTATGCTGAACACATCATTTGTGAGTTGGATTTTATGAAGATGACTATAGCATTAAGATTGGAGGAAGACCCATCAACAACCTGCATTATGTAGATGACACAACCTTGCTCATGGAAACTGAGGTGGACTTGAAGAGATTGTTGCAGAAGATCAAGGATTGCAGCCTTCAATGTGGATTGCATCTCATCATCAGGAAAACAAAAATCCATACCACTGGGCCATTATGCCACATCGTGACAAATGGAAAAAAGATTGACGCTGTTAACAATTTCATTTTGCTCAAATTCATGATCAACATCCTTGGCACCAGCAGTCAGGAAATCAAAAGATGAACTGCGTTGGGAAAATCTGTTATTAAAGACCTCCTTGGAGTTCTAAAGAGCAACAGTGTCAATCAAAAGAGTAAAGTGCACCCGATCCAGTCCACAGTCTTCTCAGTTGCTTGCTATGCATCTGAGAGATGGACAGTGACTAAGGGTGACAAGAATATTCAATGCTTTTGAGTTGTGGTGCTGGAGAAGACTATTGAACATCCTGTGGACCGCCAAGAAAACAGGTCTGTCCTAAAGAGAGGTACAACCAGTTTGCTCCTTGGAGGCAAGGATTTTGAAACTCTCACATACTTTGGGCATGTTGTAAGGAAGGTCCAGTCCTTGGGAAAGGGACATTATACTTGGAAGGGTGAAGGGTCAGTGCAAGAGAGACACTGGATAAGATGGATAGACTCAGTGACTGTGGCAGTGGGCTCAGGTGTGTTGGAGAAAATGAGATTGACTCAGGATAGGGCAAGGTTCAGAGCTGTTTACAGGGTTGCTACGAGTCAGTGTTGACTCAGTGACACATAACAGTTTTCTTTCAATCTATGTAAAGATCCTTATTTTAGAATTTCACACGAATGCAATCATAGTATGTGGTATTTTGTTACTGTCTTTGTTGTTACTATCTTCTTTAGCTTAATATTTTTCAGGAATCATGTAATTGTGTTGGTTCCTCCCACTCATAATAACCCTGTGTGCACTGAAATGACACCCTGTCTGATCCTATACCATCCTCACAATCTCTGCTGTGTGTAAGACCATTGTTGGAGGCATTGTGTTAGTACTTCTTGTTGAGACTCTGGCTGACCCTCTGCTTTTCTAAGCATGCTGTCTTTTTCCAGGGGGTGGCCCCCGGTGACATTCCCAAAGAATATGAGACCAGGTCTCACCAGTTTTGCTTCTGAGGAGCACTTCAGCTCTATTTCCTCCAAGACAGATTTGTTTGTTTTTTTAAAAGTCTACAATATGTTTGCTAATTGTTGCAGTATTACTGTTTAAAGGCATCAGTTCTTATTTGGCATTCCTCATTCACTGGCTATCTTTCACTTGCATATGAAGTAATTGACTTTTATGTACCAAATACCCAGTACTTTGACTTGGATCAGGTGCACCCTTCATACCTGTGTAATCAGGTGAAAAGGACTGCATAAGTTGTAATGGGCAGATAGGCAGGTAGTTCATGGTATAGCTTAGTGTAGAGTGTATTTAGCCACAAAAATTTTTTTTAGACTATGGAAAACACATTTTGATTCCATTTTTATTTTACTTTTTTAAAAATGGGGACTAGAATTGTGTTTTTAAATGTGAAATAAAAAATGTAACTAAGGAAATAAACCGCGTGCCTACAGATCAAAGCGTTATTAGAGGACACCCAAAATGTTAACATTAATAATGTTCAGGAAGTAGGATTATAGGTGGTTTATCTTTTCTTTATGCTGCTTTGTAATAATGGTAGCACCATGATAGATGGAGACAAGATTGAGGTTGTTAACAATTTCAGCTGGTTCTGTTCTACAATCAGCACTCTGTAATTTATAAAATCACAAAGGGTAGTAGATTAGAATAATGGTACAGAATCAATTTCCATGAGGATTATTTTAGCTATCTTTAGCTGAGTCTTTAAGCTAAAGGTACTCAAGATGCCTTGATGGCATGAATGTTAAGTGCTCAACTAGAAGTTGAAAAGTTCCCAGTTCAAACACACATGGAGGTGCCTAGGAAGAAAGGTCTGGTGATCTGCTTCTGCAAGATGACAGTCATGAAAGCCCATGGAGCAGTTTATCAAAAGGCTAATTTCACTGGGGAAGTATGCTGTTAGGGATCTCACCAAGGTGCTAAGGAGCACCGATATTAGTCTAGAGACAAGATGCACCTGATTCAGGCCATAGCCTTTGTAGTTACTTGCTATGCATCAGACATCTGGTAGTCACTAAGGATGACAGAAGAAGAATTGATACATTTGAGTCGTGCTGGAGAAGAATATTGAACATACCATGGACCACCAAGAGAACAGATCTATCCTGGAGAGGGTGAAGCCAAGCTGGTCCTTGGAGGCAAGGAATTTGAAGTTCCATCTCACATACTTTGGGCATGTGGCCAGGAGAGACCAGTCCTTGGAGAAGGACATCATGCCTGGAAGAGTGGAGGGGCAGCCGAAAGAGGACGATCCCAGATGAGATGGATTGATAGAGTAACTGGGGCAGTGGGAGTAGGTGTGTTGGAGACAGACTGGCTCAGAATAGGGCAGAGTTCAGAGATATTGTGTATAGTGTTGCTCTAAGTTACTAGTGACACAATAACACATAAGTATAATGTTATTAATAATGAGAAAATATACTTTTAAAGTAATAGTTGACATTTTTTTAAAACTCAATGGGGACATGTTGTTTGGGAAAATGAAATCTTGTCAATTTTTATTTAGGAAGAAGAGCTGAGAAAAGCCATTTTAGTGGTGTTTGCAAATAAGCAGGACATGGAACAGGCCATGACTCCTTCTGAGATGGCAAATTCACTGGGGTTGCCTGCCTTGAAGGACCGAAAATGGCAAATATTCAAAACATCAGCAACCAAAGGCACAGGTCTTGATGAAGCAATGGAATGGCAAGTATCTCATTTCTAGACGCTACCTGTCCACTTGTGTTTGTGTGCACAGATGCTTACTTATCTACATGCGTCATCTCCCTGTAGTCTTGAGGATAAAATTAAAATTCCAGAGCACCCTTTTCTCCCGCTGGCCTTTATGCATTTCTGCCTTTGCTTCAGCTGCAGCAGCTTGATTACAGATATTTAAATAGATCAGCTCTCTGTCACTTACAGCTTCTTCTCTGACTCACCTCACCTTACACCTTTAGCTTAAGACTCTTTTCATAGCATACTGCCTCATCTCACATACATAGTTAAATGCCTTTGGTACAGATATGCTGTATACTCAAAAATTTCAGTATTGGATATATATATATTGACTTGCAGTTCTTGATTTGACTAGCAAATTGAAGATTGAAACTTGTGTTTACCTCTGGCTCACTTGCAGTTAGACTGACATGGTAGCCTAGAAGATCATTCACAGTACAGTCTTTGATCCATTCAAAGAAAAGACAGAATTAAAGTTTGAATGTTGTTGTTAATTTCCATTGAGCTAACTCATGGTAACTGTGTGTGCAGAGTAAACTGCTCCATGGGCTTTCATGACTGTCATCTTGCAGAAGTAGATCACCAGACCTTTCTTCCTAGGCACCTCCATGTGTGTTTAAACTGGGAACCTTTCAACTTCTAGTTGAGCACTTAACATTCATGCCATCAAGGCATCTTGAGTACCTTTAGCTTAAAGACTCAGCTAAAGATAGCTAAAATAATCCTCATGGAAATTGATTCTGTACCATTATTCTAATCTCCTACCCTTTGTGATTTTATAAATACTTTGTAATATGAATTTTATAGAAAGTCTTCAGGCCTCTTGTTCATAGGGTCGCTATGAGTTGTGCTTGACGTGACGACAGTCCAACAACAACATACTTAAAACATAAAGCTAATTTCAACAAACTTCATTTTCTTTTCACAGGTTAGTTGAAACTTTAAAGAGCAGACAGTAATTGGACTGATTCTGCTCCTCTGAAATGAAGGTTACAAATGAAAATTCCCTTTGGAAACAGATGAGTGTGCATCACACTACTTGATGTTAAAACCGCTTGACTGCTGGCATATCCTGGACTGACGGCATCATTTGTAACAAATATGAAAACATGAGTATTGGGTTTGGGGGATTCCTAATTTTGATTGAACCAACTGAATGTCTCTTCTGTGTAATATAAAATATTCTTTCCTTCCTTTATTGTGTTAAGACATATATTTTATTTGTATGGAATTCTGATTTAAATATAGTCATACTGAAGAAAGCATTTTTGTTGGGGGAATGGGGAACCAAACTCTTACTTTTGAATTAGTGGTTAAAGCCTATTTGTGTAAACACTAATAAATATCTTAACTCAGATTTTTTTCCCCCTTTAAAGTGGATTTAGTCTTCCCTAAGATTAGGCTAAAAGCATAATGTTTATATAATATAATCTTCATTTGCTTAACTGACTGTTTTAAGCTCTTTGGCTTAAAAGTTACTGGCTAGAAGCATGTATTGAAGTCATTCTTTCAGTGGCTAACTGCACGAACTTACCTGTCATGGTCATTTTATAGTACTAGTTTTCAGAATATTTTCTACCTATATTGGCCTGCTTGGTTTGTATAAGGACCCTGTGATATTGTCAGGGCACGCTGTAATCCTTCATCCTGTGACCCAAGGCTGCACGTGGTCAAATGCTAATGAAGGTACAGCTCAAAGCAGGATTTCTGGTCATTGGCTTGTCCCATGTGCTACATCCTGAATTCCTGAAAATACTGAGACAAAGACAACTCTTAAATGTAATTATGCTAATTGAATACATATAATCAAGATAAAATCCATACATAGTATGGATTAGTGGCAAAAGTAGTGAAAACTCATGAGGTTATCTTGGATAGACTTCATGTCGTATTAAAGGTAAAATAGGGAGCTCTCGTGGCACAGTCCATAGACGGTTGCACTGCTAACTGATAGGTCATGTGTCCAGCAGTTCAAATCCACTAGCTGTCCCAAGGAAGGGTGATGGACAGACTTCTGTTGCAGCCTCAGAAACCCAGTGAAGCATCTGTGTGACCCAGAACCAACTGAATGGCAGTGAATTTGAGTTTAAAAAAACCCAAAATCACATTTTAAAAAGACCTACCTTAAGAAGCATTGCTTAAAAAAGAAAACCCAACAAAAAAATCAAACAGCAAATTAATAGTTTTAAAAAAGGTGCTTTCATTTAATCTAGCTATATTTGGATGTGTAAATTAATGAAAAGCTAAAATCTTTGTTGTATAGTAAATTTTATATTCTTGGCTTGAGAATTACACTTAACTTTTAGGCTATCAAATTTAAAAAACAAACTCTGTTTACATAAAAGATCTTTCATACTACCCAGTCCTCAGAATTAGCTATAGTTTAGCAGAAGTGAGTATAATAAACTAAATATTTTGCCATTGAGTTGATTTTGGCTCAGTAATGCTTCCAGACAGAATAGAACTGCCCTAGAGGGTTTACAAGACCAATTTTTACGGAAGACGGCCACGTTTTCCTCTTACCAAATTAATGCTTATTTCAAACCACTGACTGCTTAGCAGCCAAGAATTTAATTGCAATGCAGTGAGAGCTCGAAGTTCCTTTGAGAAAGATGGACAGTCTCCTCCCATGCGATTTATATCCTAGAAAATTCACCAGAGGACCAGCTAGCAGTAGATTCCAAGGTGACAGCAATGAGTTTGAGTATATGTGTGTGTATGTTTGTGTGTTGAGTGCCACTCTGGAACCCTCCACTGAGTTTCTGAAGCTGTAATTCTCTATGGGAGGAAACTGCTAGTCTTTTTTTCTTTTTTTTTTTTTGAGAAGTGACTAAAGGACTTGAACCACTAACCTTTGGATTAGCAGCCCACCAGTGCTCCTCAGATTACTGTGTTGTTCATTGCTGTCGAGTCAGAACCAACTCATAGCCAACCCTCCAGCTGGTTATAAGAAGCCATAAATGCACAGGAAAAGATTGTCTTTCTCTCTGTGTGGTACAGCAGGTGGCATCAAACTGCCTACCTTTGGGTTGACAGCACAACACACTATCCACTAACCAGAGCTCCCTAAAGTGAATTTAGTAATTACTCACATTGGGGTGTGGTGGGGAATCGTACTATTTAAAGAAGTTTAACTTCCAACAAGTCTAAAAGATTTGCTGATGAGAACTAAAGGCATAGTGCCTGTCTGTTGGGCAGTGCTTCGTTTCCTGCCCCTGCCCTTGCTGATACTGGGTTTAACTCATTAGATTGACCTCACGTCTGATGAATACCACTTTGTACCTGGTAGATCTTGCTCTTACTTCCCAGGACCCAGTTCTAATATTTTTTTGGGGACAGTTTCCTCCATGCTCATTAACTGATCATAATATATTGTTTCCAGTCATCCAAGTCACTCCTGATGAAAGACTGTGTGTCATATTTGTATAGTATTGTAGCTTGTACATTATTGTGGTTCTTCCAAATACGTTCATAGTTGACATAGTTGGGGAAATGTTGCTTGTTTTACTTGGTTTCCCTTCTAGTCAGTGACGTATTGGAGATGGCTGAGAATAAGAATGCAGCCATTGGCATGCAAGGAAACAGCTCCACACTAAGGTGCTGGCTTTGACCCAAATAGCTAAGTACCACAGTGCCGAGGCACATTGTAGAAGTGATGGGTCAGGTTGACCAGCAGATGCTGGCTGGTGTGTGACCTTGCTGCCTTAAGCACTGAGGCCGTGAAGCTGACCCAAAGAACAACACTTGGATTCCTATCGTTTTTCACAAAGAGGGTGGCATAAATAGGCTGTACATTTGTTTTTAATAAATCACCTGGCAGAATAAATTATATAGCATCTTCTCCAGCAGGAAAGAACTGCACAGATGTGTTATAGGATTTAAATGTTGATATTTGCAAAATAATTGTCTCCTGAATATTGTTTTTATTGAGATATTGTTTATGGGAAAAGCACCAAATAGAAAATTGGAACACAGGAGTTGTGGGTGCAAAGTACCTCTCTTTCAGTTGCTTCTAGAAAATAAGAGGCCTAGGCAATTTGATACCAAAGGTTTCGATGAGCTCTGAGAGTCTTCTGTAATTCTAGTTGGTAGCTGTGCTGTGTCATATAGTCATGCTAACTGTAATAGAAAAATGAGAAGCTGGTGGAATTACTTTTGTCATCTGAATACCTGAGATGCACTTTAAATTGTGAAATTGTAAGCTCCTTGAGGGCGGGAACTGTACATATTTTCTCTTAGTATGCTTTGCATCCAGTGGTGGTGCACTTGGCACATCGTAGGCAATAAATGTTTCTTGATTAAAAATAAATTTGTGCTCTGCATCCTTGAGGTCTTGCCTTCTGATTTTAGGCATGAATTTTCACATTCATTGCCTTTAAAAAAAGCAGTGAATGCACAGTTAATTGAAAAAAGTTTGTATCGGAAATAGAAAACAGGCAATCATTTTCAGTTCTTCTCTATGTTCTCTGGTGTGTACGTCCATATTTTTATTTCATTTGTTTATGCTTCAATGCCTTGGTTTTACTGTTTAAGATATTA